GAGTAGTAGTACTAGTAGTAGTAGAGATAAGGTAGGTAGTGGAAGTAGTAGTAGTGGCAGTGTAAAGTAGGGATGAGAACAGAGAGAGGGAGAGAAAAAGAATGCAAAGACAGCAGGAGAGGAAGTAGTGATGGGGTCAGCCAAAGGCCAAGAAAGAGGAGCTCTGCAGGAGAGATAGGGGTCTACAAGGGGTAAGACCAAAAACACAGGTAGACGGGGGAGAAAGGAAACCCAAAGCAAGAAAAAGGAAAATAGGAAAGGATCAGAGGTAGAAGGAGGAGGAGAACAACAGAATCAGGTTAAGTCACGGGTGTTCTGAGGTTTGGAGTATTTTACAGTGTAGTGGGAGAGGAAGGCATCTACAGAGACGAAGCCAGGGCTAAGGTTCATACAAGGAAAGTTGTGTATTAGGGAGGATTCAACTAGACAGCGACTGTTAAAGTTGGAAGTAGGTAAGACAGTTTTAGCAGAAGATCAGTCTATAGGATGGCTGTGATCTCTGACGTGACAGAACAGAGCATTGTTAGTGTCGGCAAGCCTAACACTATTTTTGTGCTCCCTAAGTCTGTCAGAAAGAGATCGACCAGTTTCTCCAAAGTATTGAAGAGGACAGGAGGAGCAAGAAAAAAGAGTAGACACCAGGAGCATCTGTAGAGGGAGGAGAGGTATGAACGAGATTAGTGCGAAGAGTGTTAGTCTGGCGGAAAGTAAGCTTGATGTCTAAGGGACGGAGAGAATTGAACATTAAAATGGTATAAAATACCGACAGGTTGTTAGGTAAGACACATATGCAACAGTTAGGTATCTTTATTATGAAACGTTTCGCCTACACAGTAGGCTTCTTCAGTCAAGTACAGAAAAGTTGACAGAAGCAGAAGATACTTGAAGACGATGTAATCAGTCCATCACCCTTAAAGTTTTGAGGTGGTCAGTCCCTTAGTCTGGAGAAGAGCATTGTTCCATAGTATGAAACAATATGGAGAAGAAGTGACAGGATGGAGCTTTTTATAGCGCCAAGAGATGAGACGTAGGCCACTAGGAGAGGTAAGAACTCAGATGTTGAGAGGTCAGGTCCCTCTCAAATCCAGCCCCTCTCACTAGTGGAAGTTGTCAAAGTTGATTGCAGGTCTGTACCAAGATACCCTTGTGTTGCAGTGTCTGACAGATTGAACATTAAAATGGTATAAAATACCGACAGGTTGTTAGGTAAGACACATATGTGTCAGACACTGCAACACAAGGGTATCTTGGTACAGACCTGCAATCAACTTTGACAACTTCCACTAGTGAGAGGGGCTGGATTTGAGAGGGACCTGACCTCTCAACATCTGAGTTCTTACCTCTCCTAGTGGCCTACGTCTCATCTCTTGGCGCTATAAAAAGCTCCATCCTGTCACTTCTTCTCCATATTGTTTCATACTATGGAACAATGCTCTTCTCCAGACTGAGGGACTGACCACCTCAAAACTTTAAGGGTGATGGACTGATTACATCGTCTTCAAGTATCTTCTGCTTCTATCAACTTTTCTGTACTTGACTGAAGAAGCCTACTGTGTAGGCGAAACGTTTCATAATAAAGATAGCTAACTGTTGCATATGTGTCTTACCTAACACGGAGAGAATTGTTGAGATTAGAAAGACCGGAAATGTAGGGAAGGCAGAGGACAGAAGAGTTCCCAGGAGTAGAGAGTTTGGGAGAGAAGAAATTACGTTTAGCACGTGAGAAGGCAGAGTCTATGAAATGGGAAGGGTAGCCAAGACGGGAAAACGAATTATGAAGAGTGGAAATTTCCGATTCAAAGAAATGAGAGTCAGAAATGCAGAGAACACTTCTCTACTTTCTCACGTGCTAAACTGATTTTCTTCTCTCCCAAAGGCTGGGTTTGGCTAGTACCTGATGTGTTGAAGGTATTCTTGGGTGAGTTTGGGAAAAGGCTGGACAAACAGGTGTATGGGACTCAAGAAATCGTAATGACACGATTGCAAATAAACCATACCCCCGGCCGGGATTGAACCCGCGTCATAGAGTCTCAAAACTCCAGCCCGTCGCGTTAGCCACTAGACCAGCTAGCTGGTCTAGTGGCTAACGCGACGGGCTGGAGTTTTGAGACTCTATGACCGCGGGTTCAATCCCGGCCGGGGGTATGGTTTAGGTGTATGGGAAGGAGTGGTTTTGAAAAAGACCTGCCTTGTATGAGCCAGTAGGCCTACTGCGGTGTTCCTCCATTCTTATCTTCTTATGAAAGAGAGAGACAGAGGAACTTCTACACAGATGGATAAAAACTGTGACATAATTAAAAAGAGACTACGCCACATAGAGTAACATACATAAGAACTTAAGAATAAAGAACACTACAGCAGACCTACTGGCCCATACTAGGCACGTCTTACTCAAATCCAAACTCATTAAACAAAAATATACAATGTACAACAGAATAACACAATCACAAGACAAATCTCGTTTAATAATCAGATATTTTAAACAGAATTTCGTCCATTTTACGAAATCTTACAAAATTTATCTTCGACTGAAATATTTCAATATACGAAAAATATTACGAAATGGCCAGTGGCAAAAAATACCTGAAGATCTGTTAATTCTCCCACCACAGCAGACAACCACAGCCACCAGCAGCACAGCAAGAACCTTCATCTTGGTCCTCTGGTTGACAACTGACACAGTGGCGAGGACAACACTGGTTTATATAGAGTGAGATAGGTTGCCTAACCTCGCCTGTTCTAACATCCACGTCACGGGATGTATACATACCCAGAGATGTATATCTCTCGGTGTATATACACCGAGAAGTGTATGTCTCTAAATTTAAATACATTGAGAGATTACTTCACCATTATTTTAGGGTGTTGCCTGGGTGTTGCCTGGGTGTTGTCTGGGTGTTGCCTGGGTGTTGCCTGGGTGTTGTCTGGGTGTTGCCTGGGTGTTGCCTGGGTGTTGTCTGGGTGTTGTCTGGATGTTGCCTGGGTGTTGCCTGGGTGTGTCCTGGGTGTGTCCTGGGTGTTGCCTGGGTGTGTATTGGGTGTTGCCAGGGTGTTGCCAGGGTGTTGCCAGGGTGTTGCCAGGGTGTTGCCAGGGTGTTGCCTGGGTGTTGCCAGGGTGTTGCCTGGGTGTTGTCTGGATGTTGCCTGGGTGTTGCCTGGGTGTGTCCTGGGAGTGTCCTGGGTGTTGCCTGGGTGTGTATTGGGTGTTACCAGGGTGTTGCCAAGGTGTTGCCAGGGTGTTGCCTGGTGTTGCCTGGGTGTTGCCAGGGTACTGTCAGGGTGTTGCCTGGGTGTTGCCTGGGTGTGTCCTGGGTGTTGCCTGGGTGTTTCCAGGGTGTTGCCTGGTGTTGCCTGGGTGTTGCCAGGGTGTTGCCTGGGTGTTGTCTGGATGTTGCCTGGGTGTTGCCTGGGTGTGTCCTGGGTGTTGCCAGGGTGTTGCCTGGGTGTTTCCAGGGTGTTGCCTGGTGTTGCCTGGGTGTTGCCAGGGTGTTGCCTGGGTGTTGTCTGGATGTTGCCTGGGTGTTGCCTGGGTGTTGCCTGGGTGTGTCCTGGGCGTGTCCTGGGTGTTGCCTGGGTGTTGCCTGGGTGTGTATTGGGTGTTGCCAGGGTGTTGCCAGGGTGTTGCCAAGGTGTTGCCAGGGTGTTGCCTGGTGTTGCCTGGGTGTTGCCAGGGTATTGTCAGGGTGTTGCCTTGGCGTTGCCTGGGTGTGTCCTGGGTGTTGCTTGGGTGTTGCCTGGGTGTTGCCAGGGTGTTGCATGTTGTTGCCTGGGTGTTGCCTGGGTGTTGCCTGGGTGTTGCCAGTGTATTGTTTGGATGTTGCCTGCGTGTTGCCTGCGTGTTGCCTGTGTGTTGCCAGGGTGTTGCCAGGGTGTTTCCTGGGTGTTGTCTGGGTGTTGCCTGGGTGTTGCCTGGGTGTTGCATGGGTGTTGCCAGGGTGTTGCCAGGGTGTTGCCTGGGCGTTGCCTGTGTGTTGCCTGTGTATTGACTGTGTGTTGTCTGGGTGTTGCTTGGGTGCTGCCTGGTGTTGCCTGGGTGTTTCCTGGGTGTTGCTGGGCGTTGCCTGCGTGTTGCCTGGGTGTTGTCTGGGTGTTGCCTGGGTGCTGCCTGTGTGTTGCCAGGGTGTTGCCTGGGTGTTGTCTGGGTGTTGCCTGGGTGTTGCCTGGGTGTTGCCTGTGTGTTGCCTGTGTGTTGCCTGTGTATTGACTGTGTGTTGTCTGGGTGTTGCTTGGGTGCTGCCTGGTGTTGCCTGGGTGTTTCCTGGGTGTTGCTGGGCGTTGCCTGCGTGTTGCCTGTGTGTTGTCTGGGTGTTCCTTGGGTGCAGCCTGTGTGTTGCCAGGGTGTTGCCAGGGTGTTGCCAGGGTGTTGCCTGGGTGCTGCCAGGGTGCTGCCAGGGTGCTGCCAGGATGCTGCCAGGGTGGTGCCAGGATGCTGCCAGGGTGCTGCCAGGGTGCTGCCAGGGTGCTGCCAGGGTGATGCCAGGATGCTGCCAGGGTGATGCCAGGGTGCTGCCAGGGTGCTGCCAGGGTGCTGCCAGGGTGCTGCCAGGGTGCTGCCAGGATGCTGCCAGGGTGCTTCCAGGATGCTGCTAGGGTGCTGCCAGGGTGCTGCCAGGATGCTGCCAGGGTGCTACCAGGGTGCTGCCAGGGTGCTGTCAGGGTGCTGCCAGGATGCTACCAGGGTGGTGCCAGGGTGGTGCCAGGTTTGTGCCAGGGTGGTGCCAGGGTGGTGCCAGGGTGGTGCCAGGGTGGTGCCAGGGTGGTGCCAGGATGCTGCCAGAGTGCTGCCAGGGTGATGCCAGGGTGCTGCCAGGGTGATGCCAGGATGCTGCCAGGGTGCTGCCAGGGTGCTGCCAGGATGCTGCCAGGGTGCTACCAGGGTGCTGCCAGGATGCTGCCAGGGTGCTACCAGGGTGCTGCCAGGGTGCTGTCAGGGTGCTGCCAGGATGCTACCAGGGTGGTGTCAGGGTGGTGCCAGGGTGGTGCCAGGGTGGTGCCAGGGTGGTGCCAGGGTGGTGCCAGGGTGGTGCCAGGGTGCTGCCAGGATGCTGCCAGGGTGCTGCCAGGGTGATGCCAGGGTGCTGCCAGGGTGCTGCCAGGATGCTGCCAGGGTGCTGCCAGGATGCTGCCAGGGTGCTACCAGGGTGCTGCCAGGATGCTGCCAGGGTGCTACCAGGGTGCTGCCAGGGTGCTGCCAGGATGCTGCCAGGGTGCTGCCAGGGTGATGCCAGGGTGCTGCCAGGGTGCTGCCAGGATGCTGCCAGGGTGCTACCAGGGTGCTGCCAGGATGCTGCCAGGGTGCTACCAGGGTGCTGCCAGGGTGCTGCCAGGGTGCTGCCAGGATGCTACCAGGGTGGTGTCAGGGTGGTGCCAGGGTGGTGCCAGGGTGCTGCCAGGGTGCTGCCAGGGTGCTGCCAGGGTGCTGCCAGGATGCTGCCAGGGTGCTGCCAGGGTGATGCCAGGGTGCTGCCAGGGTGCTGCCAGGATGCTGCCAGGGTGCTACCAGGGTGCTGCCAGGGTGCTGCCAGGATGCTGTCAGGGTGCTGCCAGGGTGCTGCCAGGGTGCTACCAGGGTGCTGTCAGGGTGCTGCCAGGGTGCTGCCAGGGTGCTGCCAGGGTGCTGCGATATCTGGTCACGTGTTAGCGCATCCTGAAGATTGCACTATAAGGAAAAATGTCCCGTGATAACTCTATCGTTAAACTGCGTATGTTCTGGCGGGATGAGATCTAGGAAAATACTCTTACTATTCTTGTTACAACCAGTACTTTTTAACCCTCCTGTAATACCCTAGGCAGATTTTGGATAAGAAAAGACAATAATAATAATAATAATAATAATAATAATAATAATAATAATAATATTTATTTCTACCAGTACTTGATACAACTTATACATACCATAGCTGACACCTATGACAGACTATATAGAAAGTTCCTGGTTATGAGCATTTCCTGCAACTTAGGTTAATTTTGTCCCCAGGATGCCACCCACAACAGTCGCCTAACACTCAGGTACCTACTTACTGCTAGGTGACCAGGGACAGCAGGTGTCTTAAGGAAACACACTCAAATATTTCTACCCGTACCGGGAATCGAACCACGGACCTCAATGTGTAAGCCGAGTGCGCTACCAACCAAACTACGGAACACCAAATGAAAACGGAAGATAAGACCATTGTCCCGTGACCTAAAATATAACAGACCTGAAATATGAAATCTGTCCCTATTAAGGTTTTCAAGGTGACTATACCCTAGCCAGCTTGTCCCTAAGGTTTAGGGTTCGGTGGCAAACCCTTGTCCTACAGAATCACTTGTAAATAAGACATATCGAGGTGTCCAGTGGCTCAATCGCTAGCGCACTCAGCTCACACACTGAGATCCGGAGTTCGAATCCCTGGTACGGATGGATAACATTAGGGAAGTAATTCCATAAGACACCTGTTGTCCATGTTCACCCATCAGTATAAAATAGGTATCTGGGTGTTAGTGGACTGTTGTGGGTCACATCCTGGGTGTTAGTGGACTGGTGTGGGTCACATCCAGGTGTTGTGGCGGGTGTGGTCGCATCCGGGGGGGTTTTGTGGATGGTGTGAGTCACATCCTGGGTGTAGGGACTGGTGTGGGTCGCATCTGGGTGTTATGACGGTGTGGTCGGAGGGGTGAGTGGACTGTGGGGTTGCTCTGGGTGTTAGAGGGCGGTTTGGGTCCATCCTGGTGTTTTAGTGACTGGTGGGGTTCCATCCTGGGTGTAGTGGCTGGTGGGGGGTCAACCCTGTGTTTAGTGGACTGGTAGTGTGGTCACTTTGGGTGTTAAGTGCTGGTTTTTTCGATCCTGATTTATGGATTGTGTCGCACCCTGTTTAGACTCGTGGGTCGATCCTGGTGTTGTGACTGGTGTGGGGTCGCTCCTGGGTTTAGTGGACTGATGTGGGTCGCATCCTGGTTGTTAGTGGACTGGTTGGGGTCGCATCCTGGGTGTTAGTGGACTGGTGTGGTCACATTCTGGGTGTTATGTGGACTGGTGGGGGTCGCATCCTGGGTGTTAGTGGACTGGTTTGGGTAAACATCCTGGGTGTTAGTGGACTGGTGTGGGCCATACCTGATGTTAGTGGACTGGTTGGTCCCATCCTGGGTGTTAGTGGACGGTGTGGGTCACATCCTGGGTGTTATGGACTGGTGTGGGTCACATCCTGGTGTTAGTGGACGGTGTGGGTCACATCCTGGGTGTTAGTGGACTGGTGTGGGCACATCCTGGTGTTAGGGACTGTGTGGGTTTCGCTTTCCGGGGTGTTAGGGACTGGTGTGGTCGCATCCTGGTGTTAGTGGACTGGTGTGGTCACATCGGGGTTTGTTAGTGGACTGGTGGGTCCATCCTGGGTGTAGTAAACTGGTGGGGAAAACATCCGGGGTTTAGTGGACTAGTGGGGGTAAACATCTGGGTTTTTGTTTAGTGACTGGTGTGGTCACTCCGGGTGTTAGTGACTGTGTGGGTTGCATCCTGGGTTTTTAGTGGACTGTGTGGGTCGCACCCGGGGTGTTAGTGGATGGTGTGGGTCGCATCCTGGTGTAGTGGACTGGTGTGGTCGCATCGGGGTTTAGTGGATGTTGGGTCGCATCCTGGTGTTAGTGGACTGGTGGGTCGCATCCTGGTGTTATGACTGTGTGGTCGCATCCGGG